TAGAATAGAATAGAATAGAATAGAATAGAATAGAATAGAATAGAATAAACAGAGTTGGAAGGGACCTTGGAGGTCTTCTAGTCCAACCCCTGCTCAGGCAGAAAACCCTATACCATTTCAGACAAATGGTTATCCAATCTCTTCTTTAAAACGACCAGTATTGGAGCATTCACGACTTCTGGAGATGAGTTGTTCCACTGATTAATTGTTCTAAATGTCAGGAAACTACTTCTTAGTTCTAGGTTGCTTCTCTCCTTGATTAGTTTCTATCCATTGCTTATTGTCCTGCTCTCAGGTACTTGGGAGAATAGCTGGACTCCCTCTTCTTTCCACCCTTATTTGAGTAGCGGGGTAACCATATCATGTTTTGCCATCAAATTAGAAGGTATAATCTGGAAAGCTTCTGGAGACCAGAATATCAAGATTGGAACAAGTTTATAACATGCCTGAGAGGGTTGCTCATCTCTGTACTAAGCTCCTTGTTTCTATATCCTGTATACAACTGCTCAATGAACAAAACATGTTAAACCAAAACCCAACTATATTATAGCTTAGTAAGATGTATCCATTCACTCATGGTCAGTTGGAGAACCATTTGTTTTCTTTTGGTGTTGAGAAGCATTCTGGATGCTAAATGTTATCCATCTGTGCAAAGGGGTCAGAAGAGCAGATAGAGATCATGCTACTGATGTTGGTTAATAGGTACGCATTTGGAAGTATGTGTTAAATTAATGACAGGTTATGAATCCTGAGTGAAAAATGAGATGAGTGCAGTATTAAACTCCCTGGCTGAGTAAGAACAAAAGGATGACTCAATATGTTACTATCAACCTTACCTCTGGGGACATGATTTAGGTGGAAAGCACCAGAAGACAATCAACAATCTGCTCATATTACATCAGGATATATATTGCATAAAACATGCCATTGATTTCTTTTCTATTGGATGCTTACTATGTGACTGAAAACATTGACATTATATCTGTGTATCCCTAAGGCATCACATTAGTAATATAGAAAATAAAGACCTACATAATCATAAAAACTAAAATATCCTTACTCTCTCTCTTTATTTGTACTGTTGCCCAAAGACTGTAATAAAGTAATTTCATTTCATTTCAACCTTCCTACCGTAATCCAGGAATTACTGTGGATTGGTTGGTATCTCAGTCTAAAGCACTGTGTTTCTTGCTGATCTTGCCATAAGATGGTACAATTTTGGGGAGCAAAGGCATCACAGCTTACTGAGAGGTTCACAGGAGGGTGAGGCTTCACTGTGTTGTGATGATCAGTGATGCACCAACATGAACAAAAACACAACATTATTTTCTGGAAATAAAATTCCGAGCCATAATAATAACACCATAAGAATCCTCAAGACCAGACTATCTAATAATCCGATATCTTGTGACATGCAGTAACACGTTAGATGCTTCTGAGAAGGCCATAAGTGGGAGATGAGGACAATACAACCACCTACTTATCACCTTGAAAATTATATTCACTTTCTATAATCATGGGAGGGTCACATATTCCCATTGCTTTTTATAATCGTTTATCTATTTTCATCTCTCTCTGTTACAACTTTACCGCTGGTTCTCAATTTACAAACATTCATTTAGCAACTGTTCAAAGTTACAACAGCACTGGAAAAAATAAGTAAGTGACTTACAACTGGATCTTGCACTTAATGGCCATCGCAGCATCCACCCAAGTCATATGATCAAAATTTGGGCGACTGGCAACCAGCATGCATTTTACAATGGTTGCAACATCCTGGGATCATGTGATCATCATTTGTGACCTTCCCAGATGGCTTCTGACAAGCAAACTCAAGGGGGGGAGCCAGATTCACTTAACAATCAGCTGATTCACTTAAACAACTGGAGTGATTTGCTTAACAACAGTGGCAAAAAAATGTTGTAAAATTGGGCATGACTCACTTAACATATCTTGCTTAGCAAGAACAGATACTTGGTTTCCAATTGTGGTCATTAAGTCAAGGGGTACCTTTACAACTTCGCAAACAAATCATACCTACTTGATATTCCTTGTTGTCAAGGAGCATGCATTTAGAAAGCTGAGTCCAAAAATTCCAAAAGCAGTCAGGTTGAAAAGCACATAGATTTATACTTTCTTGTTGTTTAAAGATCAGTAGCATAAACCTGACTTTCTAGTAGATTTATCCCACCTGAGGAACTCAAAATAAGACTCATGGAGGGATTTTCCCTTCATTTGATCCCGATTAACATTACCATGTAAGATAGGTTGGGCTAAGAGATAATGAATAAAACAATGTTATACAGAAAGCTGCATGACCAGGAGGAGTTGAACTTAGATCCTCTCTGACTGCAGTCCTATTTAGCCCCTATATCACAATGGGCCTCCTGGGGTCTGTATTCTGCGTGCAACACTTGCAAGCATTTCTACATCACTTTGGTTTAAACCAGCGGTCGCCAACCGGTGGGCCACAGCCCAATGGTGGGCCTTGAGAAAATTTTGGTGGGCCGCAGAGAAATCTCACCCCAGAGCACCCCCCCCAAAGCAATTAATCCAGGCTGCGCTGAAACACAAGGCTCCGCTGCCCACATGGCCCATGGGAATCCTCCCCGCCCACTCCAGTAAACTTGCCTGCTAAAATTGCTGTTTTTCCTTTTTCCAACCATCATCTGTTCTGCTGTGCTGGGAGATTTAGATTAGATTAGGAAGCAAGAAATGGTTGGATTTCTTGCTTTCTAGCTAGTCTTTAGATCTTCGGCTCTGCTTCCCTTAGGACTGAAGGTTTGCTTGCAAGTAAATTCAGTGCAGACTCACAGCAAGCAAATTTGACAGACTGAGCTAGCCGATGGCAGATAGATAGATCGCTGAATGGATTCTGTGAGCAACTCAATTTGCCTGCTTTGCCTGATTTTGGGAAAAAATTGCTTTTTTTAATAAAAAATTCAATACATGGTGTGTTGTGAGTTAATTTTATGAGTTTGCTTGCTAGTAAATTTTATGAGTCTGTTTGCAAGCAAATTTTATGTGACAGACTGAACTAGCCAATGGCAGATAGATAGATCTCTGAATGAATCTGTGATTCTATGAGTAACTCAATCTGCCTGCCTGCTTTGCCTGATTTTGGGAAAATGTTGCTCTTTTTTATAAAAAATTCAATATTTATATAAATATTTATAATATTTACATACAAGTCATGCCCAACCAGTCACATGACCACCAAACCACACCCACAAATTAGGCCATGCCCACAGAACTGGTTAGTGGTCCCTGGGATCTAAAATTATGAGTTTGGTGGTTTCCGAGGTCTAAAAGACTGGTGATCCCTGGTTTAAACATCATCGAAAGGGCCACCTCCAAAGGCAATTTGCCAAGAATTGCAAAATACTATTTAGCAAAGGCAGCAAAAAGACTTTTGATACAACAGTTGTTCGATTTAGTTGAGCTGACCGATTAATTAGAAATTGAATCATTACTCAAAACATTTTTTCCAATAATTTATCAGAGTTCCTGATAATTACCAATGTCTGTTAATGTGAACTGTATTGGTTCAGATGAATTGCTCCCAAGTTTATTTGTGGCTTCGACCACAACTGTATAAGTAGTTTCAAAGTCCAGCTTTTTCCTGAGATGAACTATAGTGCTATTTTTTTCTCCCAAGACTGTTCTATTGGAGGTTTCATTTGTTATCCTGCAACAAAAAAAGAAACTGAGATGAACAGTGTGAATGATCTTCCTTCCTCCTTCCTCCTCCCCCTCCCCCCTTCCTCCTCCCCCTCCCCTTCCCCCTCCCCTTTTCTTTTCCCCTTCCCCTTCCCACTCTCCTTCCTTCCATCCTTTCTTTCCTTCCTTCTTCCTTCCCTAGATTAATTTTATACCTATATAAAATTGTATGTCACAGAAATTATATTACCACCTAAATATTCAGTTCATAAATAAAGACTTGTTTTTTTGAGGTTGGCTTGAATCGGACACTTTTTATTATAATACCCAGTTTAATCGTTCGCTCTAATATTTCAGTTAGTTTAATTTGGTTAATTTCAATTACCCTAATATTCAGTTTAGTCTTCCCAGTGATTACTCAAAACCCCAATGCCTGCTCTCAGATTTACTGCCAAATCCCAAGTATAGAATCATAAACTCAGAAAGATGGACAAAATTAAAAATGAAAATCCTGCATAACTTTTTTTGAAATTTGCATCAATTCAAATCCAGGTGGTGACAAAATTTCTTTCAGATTTGCATCTGGATTGTGAATTTCAACCAGTATTACAAAAAAAAAAAAATATGGCATTTTTATTATGTCAAAGTCTCCATCCCAAGCCTCTGTTGCATCTAAGAATCTTCAATATTCATGTGATATAACCTGAGTCTCTAACCACCCCAGAGGTATTTAATTAACGGGCCAAAAAGGGGAGGTGTGTTATCATAAGCCATGATATCTGTCTACAAATGGATACAATTACATTCTGCCAACCATCAAGAAAACCTTCTGATGGGAGTAGATGATTACAGAAGGGAAGAAGAGATAGAGAGCTTTTATTCCTGGACTTTCTACTCACAATATAAAGATAAATTGTGAGGGACAGCACTGATTTTAAAGCCACAGATGTTAAAAAGGAAGCAACAATATTAGCTGGATCTGGTTACTGAAGAACATCCAACCTAACTTCCAACCTCAGAACAATCTATTAAGGTGATGGATGTTATTTCTTTTGTAGCGTTAAACTCATCATGGACAGACTATGCCATCTTTTCCTTTGCTTCAGACTGTGCAATATTTTGAATTACCCTAACAATAGGAGCAAATCCTCAAAAAAGGCTTGCAGAGCAAACGTGGATTTCAGGGTATTTAAGCCCTAATGGCTGACAGCCATGGCCAATATTTTGATCAAAGCTAGCTCAAATTCCACTCATTTCATCCCTGGTGGTACATAAGAAAATGGAAACAAAGATGAAGTGATGAAGCAGAATTGGCCAGATGTAAACAATTATAAAGGGAGACAGAACTTACCATAGTGTATAGGTAGTCAATAGATAGGTATAATATCCTTTATCCCAAGAACAAATGGTGGGTCCATATTTTCCATACTGGGCACATGACACATGTTTTGGTTGATCTGGAGCAACTTAAAAAAGAAAAAAAATAGTCAACAGCTGAGATGGGAAGAAATGACTCTCAGTTTGAATCTTTGTTCTTTATAAAAAATTATTGTGTAAGAGTTTGTGTTTGCATTTGAACTTTCCAGTATACAGTGAATCTGTGTATCAAAACTTCTTTGAAGAAAGGCCTGCTATGTGTCCAGTAATAATATTGTCATGCCCCTGGTGGAGACTGACTCTGAGGGAGAGAACAGCCAACAGGGAGTGGGAAGTGTGGCTCCGGAGATTGTAGGAATGCAAAGGCTGGCTGAGTAGTCAGAAGAGGACTCAGGCCCATCCCCTCTCCATCCTAGGACACACAGGGAGGAACGGATAAGGGAGACACGTGGTATGCTTGGGAGGAGATGGCCTTGATCCTCTTCATGGGTTGCAGCTGTGACAACTGAATAAGAGGATAGACATGCGTATGGGCGAATGCTGGAAACAAGGCATGGAAATATCTCTAGTTTATGGTTCCTCTCTGAGTTTGGTGTCCTTCCCAGCATGTGTTCTGTTCTTTGTGGACGTCCTCCAGCCCTTAACTTGCCTGGTTTGTGTTGTTTTTCCCCTCCTTCTTGTAACTGATTGTGTGGGAGTTTTTTGTCTTCCATCAAGGATATTTGGAGCTTGGAAGCAAAGTGAAGGAATAAAAGGGGCTTCACCGGGTTTTTGTGACTCTGTTTATTTTGTATCCCCCCCGTCATCAAGACCTTTATCTTATTTTCCCCATTAATTTGGAAGAGATAATATCGTCCAAAAAATAGCTTGGTTTTGTGGTGATTTTCTTATATGGATCTGATGAGGGGAAGTGGGTTCCTGGACATTGCAACAAAGCAGTGGTGGTAATTGCTGCTAAACATATATATGTTCATATATGACTCTTGTTCTTTTCACAGCAGCCCTATTTTTGCTAAATAATCCAGCTAAAGTCAAACACTTTATAGCATAAATGTAGAAAGATGAAAATCTGTATCTTATTTTCCTAGGTGAAACCTTAGTGGGAGTTACTAATTTCAAAAAGAAAATAGGAACTGGCAGTGAGATGAACAAGAGTTATTGAAAAAAAATCAGAGGAAGAGATAACAGCACATTCCTCTCTTCAAAATTGTGAGTGATTATAACATATAAGCATTTTTTATAAGGCTTGGGCGAAGGCAATAATTCTTTTTTTTTATCCAATGGACATATTGAACAAAGCACCCATTTCACGAAAGGAAAAAACATGCCTTTCCTCGGTTATTTCTATTATTCTAATATTAATTTTCTCCAATTAATTAATCCCACCTAAAGACTCTATCTCATTACATCTCATTGACTACATGAAACCCTACATTCAGAACAGAACAATGTTTTCAAAAGTAAACAACCCCCCTTCCCAATTTCTTCTGTGCAGCTAACCAAAGTTTTAAAAAAGCTTCTTACTTCCAACAAAAACATAAATTCCGCATATGTTCAGTGGCCTCGGTTGTTTGCAACGGCATTCAAACATCTGCCTCCCAAAAGTATTCAGTAGAACCTGGGTCCTGATTGAAGAATCTGGAGAGCTGCTGCTACTGATAATGGAGTGGTTTTGTGACAAGACAATGACACAATGCCTGCGGTAGGAGCTCTTGTTTAGCCAGCAGGACAGATCCACCGTTGATTTTAATGACAGCTCTGTGCCATTTGCATGCATGTGTCCCCTGGAAAGCAGGATAGAATTCAACAAGGAGGACAGTTAAGGTGCAGGATTCTTTTTTTGTCTTCTTATTTTGCTCTTTTATGATTGTTGCATTTATTGGTTTTGCTTTTGGGGGATGCCTGGAGTTGTGTCTATATAAAATGGGAGCCATATAAATTTTTTAATAAATGAATATTAACTTCTTGCAACAGAAATAAACTAGGTTTGGAACACCATATGTTTTGCCCTGTGCCAGTAAAAATACTTGTGTAGATTCCCCCAACATGGCAAAACAAACAGCTCGTAACATCTACAGAAGGAGTAAAAAAGAAAAAATCACAACTGCAGCTGCAACTCTATAGTCAACAGCCCATGGCTCCCATTTATGGCCTTGACCCATAAATGCTCACCTTTACTCTTATTCAAAATTTCTTGATCCTGGAGACTACATTCAAAGTCTATCATTAGTGTAAAGCTGCTATATCATCTTTTCCAGCTGGTGTCCTCCAAAAAAATCTCTTCTAAAGTCTTTTTAAGGGCCCCAATTATTCTCTGGCCCCCAATTGAACAGCCCCTCTTATCAAGTATAGTTTAGATTTTGAAACACCACATAGATACTTTAGGTCCCACCATCTGATTTCATGGGTTACCCATTTGGAGAACATAATATTGTTAGAAGCTGCAGGTAAAAGGCAGCAGACAGAAGGAAGGTAATATTCTGCTCTCAAGTTTCTCTGAATCATTTAAAGGCTCTTGTTGGGGTTTGGTGCCCATTGTGCTGAGTGACTTGTATCAATTGGGGATTACCGGAGTGAAATATATGGCAGAAGGAGCACCTGATTGAAGAAAGCTGCTTCAAAGTTGAAGCCTTCTCTTTTTTAACCTTCTGCAAAAATCAAATACCAATTTTCTCTCTACTTTTGTCTTGGCCGGTTAGCCGTTAAAATATTGTTGGACAAACTAAGGAATCTCTTATTATTGCCCTGCCACCTTCAAACGGTCTCCCAGACAACTTTCCAGTATTTTCTAAAGCATCTGTAGGCTAGACAAGGAATAATGGTTGTTCAAAGGAGAGATTTAACCTGGAAATAAGGAGAAACTTTGTGACAGTGAGAACAATCAACCAGTGGAACAGCTTGCCCTCGGAAGTTGTGGGAGCACCATCACTTGAGACTTTCAAGAAGAGATTGGACTGCCATTTTTCAGAAATGGTGTAGGGTCTCCTGCTTGTGCGGGGGGTTGGACTAGATGACCTACAAGGTCCCTTCCAACTCTGATTATCTGTTATCTGTTTACGCAAGCAGTGAAAGAAGACAAAATAGTGAGTTCACTTGCCCATGAGCTGTCACTTCCTGGGTGTTCTCTTCTATAGCTACTGAAGGGAAATCACATGTGCTTCTCTGAAATGATTATACAGGTGAATAAGTTACACCATGAGATAGTGGGCTGTGGGCACTGAGAGAGAGAGATGGAGCTGTAGAGGAAGGGAGGGCTCTGCCAAACTCTAATGCTGTCATCTCTACCCATTCTTATCTCTGCTTCCTCCCACTTTTAACTTAGAAATAGATTTGGAGTCGATAGATCATTATATAGAGAGCTTTTAGGGAAAGGTTTTCATGTAAATGGTTTAGCTTGAATTTGGACTTTCCTGTATAATTCACGCTGTTGTATGTTGTGTACCAAAAATAGCAGAACCTTTGCGTGCCGCATCACAGCTTTTACATGTCACACAAGTAGGGCCTGTTGAATCCCCCTCTAGAGGGTTTGCTAGAACACCCAAGCATCACCAGAAAGAAGATAGGACAAGCGGAGAAAAGAAAAAAGCAAAAAAGCAAAAGCAGGTTTATAGGGCCTATCCTGATTCTTTACTAGACACAACTAGAGTACAAATCCTTGGCATGGAACAAGGTTTCAACTCTGAAAAAAAAAATGCAAGAAGCTTATTTTTCCAATAGCCCTTTGTCAACAAAAGAGTGCGCATTTGCCTCAGTAGATGTCACAACCTACTATAGAACTATCATAAAAGGAATTCTGCAGGGTGGCTATGTTTAGTTAATAATTTCAGCCACCTTAAAAACCCAATGGGCAGGAAGATTTTATATATATATATATATTAGATTTTTAAAAATTGTTTCTATTGTTTCAAAACATTTTATAGTTTTAACTATAGCGTATCTTTCAAATTATAAGCTGCCCAGAACATTGATTGAGATGGACAGCTGTAGAAATTGAATAAATAAAATAAAATGAAATTTTTATTATTATTTTCTTTTCAAGAAAAAAAATGCTACTCAACCATTGACTCTTGCATTCTTCTGATAGCAAAACCTTTACTCCTAGAATAAAAAAAACACAAAGATGTTTCATAATAAACAATTTCAAAACCTAAGTAATTATAAAAGTAAAGAAGTGTTGTTTATAAAGATTTCATTTACAAGAGGAAATTATGGGATTTGCTGACTTGTTTGGCAGCATTGGAAGCTTAATGATTTTTTTTCAAAGTTGAATAGACTATGGATTTAGACCTCCCATAGTCAAGAAATGAAGGTGCAGATATTCTTCACACACACATAGATCTTTCTCCAAATTTGCTGTTCAGACTTTTTAGTAACTCTACTACTGATTGTACATTGTCTACTTCAAATCTACATTACCCATTGTTTGTCTCTCCAAGCTCTAATCCCAGGCATTTCTTTATTTAAAATAATGAGGATATGATCAGTACCTCTATAGCTTGGATGGAGCCATTTGTTCATATATGACCCTTCCCACTTGGCAGAAGACTTGTGATGTTTTATGATAGGATAGGAATATTTTTCCTCCTGTGACTCTTCTAGATTATTGGCCTTACTGAAGATAGGGAGGCTAAAAAAGTCCCGGATTTCCAGAATTCACTCACCTGCTCCCAAGAATACCCAAAAACACATTTTTAAAGGTAAGCTTCTTAGGTCGATCATCTTGATATTTTCTGCTGAATTTTTACTCCTGCTTTTTTTCAGTAGTCAGAAAATAATCCTTTAAGGAGGAAGACACTTTCGTATTTTTAGCGCAGGACTGAAAAGTTGGCTTTTTCTAGAAACAATCATACTCCATGGGAAGGATGAAGCGTGGATATTCTTTGAGAAGCAGATGCTTGTGCCAAGAAACCAAATGGTTTGGATCCAAAGTTTGTTTTTTTCTTTCAGAGTGTTGCCTTTCCGAAAATGTATTTTCTTTGCTGCTTCTCTGTCTGTCCATCCACCCTCCGGTTCAGGAACAATACTTGATGATTTATGTGACTCATGAAATATATTTCTTGGGTTTCTTTTTCTTCAGTGATGAACAATATTTCCCAAGGTTTGTTTCTAAGGTTCATGAAGATTGAAACGAAACAGAGCGGAGAATTAGTTGAGAAGCCTTATGAGGTATTTATTTTGAAAAGCTATGTGGAAAATAGGAGTTGTAACCAGATAGAAAAGTGTTCTCTCTAATATTTAACCCTGTGATCAAACTCTAAAGCAATCCTTGGCAACTTTAAGACACGTGGACTTCAACTACCAAGAATTATTGCTAGTTGCAGGCTGGCTAGGGAATTCTGAGAGTTGAAGTCCACAAGTTTTAAAGTTGCCAAGGTTGGACATCCCTTCTCTAGAGCAAAGATGGGCAACCAAGGGCCCAGAAGCCCAGTTAAATCCCTAAAACCCCTTAAAAAAAAAAAAAGCTCCTACAAGAACCATATTATTGAAAATTGTCTAGTTTCCTGTCAGTAGGAGGCAAGAAATATATATATATATAGTATGTTTATGTATATATTGTCTAAGCTAGAAAATCTCAGTCCCAAACGGATGTGATATGAACCCTAATCTTTTTTAAAATCACTGCCCTGTTCACCAAAGACTGTGTCCCCACCCAAGAAACAACTTGCTTATGTCTGCCTACTTTCTTAATACTGGAAGGTGTCAGTGGTTGCCACCAATATAGTTTGTGGATGCCATCGATAAATCATAGGTGGGGCATATCTATTTTTGAAATTATTACATGAGGTTCATCTTCAGAAGTTGGAGGGAATTTTAATTATTTAACGATTTATAAAATATAACTGAAGAGAAATGGGGAGGGGGGGAATTAATTATGGAAAGCTTATAAGTGTTCCCAAGGAAGTATGATATTTACTTGAAAAGAAATGTTAATGATGTTAAGATTTTAATGAATATTAATGATAGAACTGAATTGGAATGGAATGAGTGTTTTAATTTCATATATTTATAATCTTTTTAAAATAATATAATGTGTATTTTAAGAATGTACCAAGCAGAATTCGATTGGAAGTTATGTATTATATTGAATGTTATAACCTTAAGGTATACATTGAAGCTTAAATAAGAGTTGAATGGACAAAATTAAAAGATATAAAGGTGTCATACTCCAATTAGTAACTACGGGAGAAAATTTGTTTAATGAGAAAAGATAATATGAAATAGAAACAGGACAAAAGTATAAATATAATGATTTGAATTGAGATGAGATAATCAAAATAAAATTGAGAAAATTAAAAGAGGGGAAAAACTTTGTAGAAAATGTAAAACAGCAATAAGATATGGAATAGAACACAAAAATGAGCATGAAATTGAGTTTGTATCTGTATGAAGAAGTGTAACCTGGGATCATGCTATTTTCAAAAAAAGATGTTTTATTTGTATTATGTGTTTTTTTTTGGGGGGGGGTGAAAACTCAAATAAAACTTTCAAAAAAAAAAAAGAAAGAAGAAGTTGGAGTGGGAAACCGAGCCAGGTTATAATCTGGTGGTTCAGCTCGGCTTGACACATCTGCTGTATTTTCTTAGTCACAAACAATTTAGATTACTTGTATAAACAAATCATAGATATGGGGAGGGGTTTAAATGGGCAAGGATTTGCTTTCATTGACAAGACATACATCTGAAGGGCTCACATTTTGTCATTCTTTCACCACCATACAGTGGATATAAAAAGTCTGCATGCTCCTGTTAAAATGCCAGGTTTTGGGGGGTGGGTGGGATACCAAGATCAAGATAAATCACTTCCGAATTTTCCCCCAACCTTTACTATAACCTCTAAGACATACAACTCAATTGAAAAACAAACTGAATTGGGGAGAAAAGTAACAATAAAAAAAACATACAGTAGCAGGCAATAACTCGAACTACAGTGAAAATTGGACAACTTTATGGAAGGATCTTTGCTTGGGTACTATCTTCCACATGGAATATGGAAAACTTGGACAAGACTGAGAACAGAGGTATCACGATAAAAGAAGAACTTGAAGATATGGACAATATCACAGGAGATGGAAGCTGTGGATGTGGGAATTTGCAGAGTCCTGAACATTTATTTATTGATATGCCACAATCTTGATGGACCATGTACAGTAGATGATTTGTTCCTGGTGAATGATAAAGCTACTCAGACTGCTACTTTCTGGGCCTTCAATGCTATGTAATGTCACATAAATGTTTTAAATCCCTTCGGTGCTAACAAAAAATGCACAGAAATTTTTGTGTATGAACTGTAAACAACTTAGTCAATATGGAAACATGCAGCGTAACATTAAAATAAGTACAAGATAGATATCTATATTGTCTAGGTAGATCATTCCTTTTAAGTGGCAAAGTATGTTATCTGTGAAACCATTTCCCTTGTCATCTTTTGGAAGGAGTAAGTGACTATCTGATGAATATCTGACTTCCTCAGATCATTTCCCAAGTATGATAACACAGAACAACAAAACGCTATTTCAGTTTTTTTCTCTGTCAAAGGAGTAGACTTGATGATCAGTTCAGGACATTAAGAAGAAAACATGTCTCTTTACAAAAATTATTTTCCATGCGGTATAGCAGTTAACAGAGAGGAAATAAACACAGCTACCTATGGCAGTGTGCAGTTGTATACACACACACCAATTTGGGGGGATTTCTAATATGCTTATAAGTCAAAATAAACTTAACATATCTATGCCACAAAGATTCACCTTCAGGCAAGATGAGCACCATTGTTCAATTGTCCAAACCAGTTACTTTATTTTGGTTATGTAACTGATTCCGTTTATGTTTACACTGTTGGTTTTAGTATTCATAGATTCTATGATTCTTTCATGTTGTTCCAGGTAATTTGTACTATCTGATCTTCTAGCAGTTGTACAAGGACATTTGGAATTATACTTTCATAGTTTGTTGTGCTTGTTAAATTTACCAAGGGAAGCAATCCTAAATTATATGCTCCCATGTTCTTTTTTTAAATTAGTTTCCCTGTTTATTATAGAATCATAGATTTGAAAGGGGACATTTATAATCATCAGCCTGGTGCAGAAATTCAAATTAAAGCATCCCAGATAGATGCTCCCCAGGGTCTGTTTGAATAAAGCCGAAGAAGATGAGTCAACCACCATCTAAGAGACAACTAAGAGATCCTACTGTCCTTAAGTGATGTAGCGAGACAGAAATATGTTGGAAAGATACCTTTTTGCATGAAGTCTACTACAATGTTGCAATAAAAAAGTTGGAAAGAATTGGAGGACAATCAAGTCCAACCTTCCTGCTCAATGCAGAGTCCCCTATCCACTGTACCAATCAACAGGCAACTATCCAGCTTGTCTTGAAGACTTTCAGTAAAGGAGAATTGACAATATCATGGTAACAGCCAGTTGCACTGGTTGTCAGCTCATAAAGTCAGGAAATTCCTCCTGATACATACTGATGTAATGATAAGTATCCTGTAGTAGGAATGGCTTTGAGAAAGGGGGAAAAATGAGATAAAGTAGGAGAGGGTGAGCTGGCAACTGCATAATGGGCAGAGAAAGAAACTTAGAAAGAATTTATCTTACCAGACTATATAAAAAGAGGCAGTAGGTGATTTGTACTTTCAAACTTGCAAAATTCTGTTCATGTAGCCTTACACTAAAATAGAATTAGCTTATTTGATTTGTCTCCTATTTAATCCACCCAGGAAGGCTGACCACTTAGCAGGTAGCTTTAATCCACTTGTCCTCGTCTGGCACAACAGAGAACCAATCTGCTCACTCTCTTGTGTCAGAAATTTGGAGGCTGCTATCCAATCATCTCTTACATGGGATAAGTATATATTTAACCATTTTTACACACCTTGGTTTCCAGTCTTCTCATCACGTTGGTAGCTATTCTTCAATGTGCTTCACTTTTTCTTTGACTTTTTAGAACTGTGAGGCCCAAAATTGGAAACAGTATTCCAAATCATTCCCAAACTGCAGGGCAGAGTGGAATAGAACAATTCCTCCTCATGATCTGGACTCTACATTCTTGTTAATGCACCTCAACATATCATTCACCTTTTTAGTAGCTGTATCCCACTGCTCACTTATATTTAATTTGATACCCAGATTCCTTTCAAATGTACGATTGCTAAGGTAGGTCTCCCCCATCTTATCTTTGTCCCTTTCAGTTTTTTTCCCTCACACCCAGATGTACAATTGCTCATATCTCCTTGTTTAATTCCATCCTATTCATTTGAGTCCTTTTTGCTGAAGCCTGTCCAGGTATTTTCAATTTTTTTTTAAAAAAACAACTCTTCTAACTTGTCCCTTTCAGCTTTGAATCATCTGAAACTTGATAAGCATCACATCAGGTGCCTAACCCAAGTCTCTGATTTAAAAATACTATCATCTCTCCATGCTGAAGCCTAAACACAAACTTTTGGTCTTTTGAGCAACTCTGAGTCTATCTAGCATTGCTTAGCCCATATTTTATATTTTATTATTTTATTTAAAGGAATAAAATGAAGTCTTATGATAAAAATTTTGCTAGCTAAGTCTATCAAGAAAGGAGTATTGCAGCATATTGAATTTATACTGCACGAGTCAAAAAGAGGGCTTTAAAAATATTTACAGACCCCTTACATCCTGGACATAAACTGTTTTTACTCCTACCCTCAAAACGACACTATAGAGCACTGCACACCAGAGCAACTAGACACAAGGACAGTTTTTCCCCGAAAGCCATCACTCTGCTAAACAAAATAATTCCCTCAAAACTGTCCAACTATTTACAAAGTCTGCACTACTATTACTATTGTTCCTCTCATCCTTCCTTTCACCCATCTACTCTCACTTATGACTGTCTGACTGTAACTTTGCTGCTTGTATCCTAACAATTTTTATTGACAATTTCCTAGTATGATTTGATTGCTTACTGTACCCTATGACTATTATTAAGTGTTGTACCTTATGATTTCTGACTCT